TTACATCAATCCTCAGACCGTTTAACACGTTACTGCCTTCCAAGTAAACAATCTCCGTTTTTCTATTGAATATTCCATTTAATAAAGCACAAACTTACGCACGAGTAGGCACTTTTGACAGCTTTTGTTAGCATATTGTCTTTTATAATTTCATATTCAATAATGTACGAGTATATTTTTAAAACTACATTAATTTTTAATGTTTCTTAAATTTGCAAGAATAAATACTTTTCGGTTTATCGGTTCACCATTTTATTTAAAGTTTTAAGGAAATACAGGGTAATATTACATTTTCGCGACTTGAATTTCATCGTAACTATTCGTATATTTATGAAATTCTTACAATCAATTCTATTAATAGTAATTAATATTTGATAGGGCCACAGTAGACAAGTAAACTATTTTAGTGAAGATAGTTTTGTGCAAACTTACTCTAAATACTGAAGAAAAATTTACCTAAGGACCATGTATAAATAGAGTTTTTCTATGCATTCTTCTTTCATGCTTAATTCAATGATAAGGGTATACCTATTCTATGTTCTATGTGTAATTCTTCAAACCATCCCGCACTAATCAAACACTAATAATTTCTCTAATAATGACACTAATAATTTATTAAATCTGGCGATCTCTAAATATAACATGCTCTTACCATGCGTTATTTTCATTAAATATACATCTCCAATATACGCATCAGTAACGTACGTTTATGTAGGTATATCTACTTTATAGCCCAAAATCTGATCCATGCCTTACATGATAAACATTTTATGACACTTCCATAGTTATTTTCATTAATTGCATTATTTTCACCACTAACTTAGTAATTTTACTCGCAGCTTAGAGCTTGATTCTTTTTCGTATTTTTAATTTTAGGATGAATAGCTTCCTATATATGTTACTATGTACATATGTATTATGTATTCCGTGCAGCTGTTTTGGTGTGAAAGAGGAACAAAAGTACAAAATAGCATAATATAGAACTAAAGCCATCTTTGAAGTACAAAGCAACACCAAAATCTTATAAGTAGGATCTGAATCATCGTATGTAGGTCAAAATCCTTAGCTTTTATTTCTATAAGCATACAATTTAAAACTCTTTGATATTGTATTTTTTATATCAACAATTAACTGGCTCTCTACTTTAAAACTAATCTAATCTATTATTGCAGTATTTAAAATATATCATTTATTTGTCGAAATTAGTTTAAGATACTTTATTTCTTGTATTGATTGCTATTAGTCTTCATTGAAATGCCAGCGCCATCTATCGGCCGTCGATAGAGTCTTTACTGAACTGTTACACTTCTGAATTTTCTCTGATGAGTGAGGTAACCGGGTCTATTTTATTCAAAGAGAGAACAGCTATGTTTCGATTTTTAGAGGGTGCCTGCCTTCTAGGCGTCTTATCTTAAGAATTGAGTTATTAGCTCAACTCTTTATCACAAAGTAACTTAGGCACATTACTTGACAATCAAAGCTTGCTTTAGGAGCGAGCATCGATTTGTCAGCCACACCAATGCCCTTGGGATATCAATGTAGCTAAATATGCTCTACACGGGTTTTCTTCTTAAATAAATGCTGGCCGCTTTTCCCGCCGCGGTTCCATGAATGACTTCATCAGTAGGGCTCTTGTTTCCATAAAGGTTACTTCTATTTTAAAGCCTTGAAATCCTAATTTGGGATGATATATGGGTAGACATGCTTCTTCTCACCTAAGGAGTACTTTGGTCAGAGTCGGGGCGGCATTCAAGGCAGCTGAAGTAAGTAGTGCAAATATGAGTATCTTAGTTCAGATTATGTATTTGTGCGGTTTGCTGTTGAAACCTTAGGTCCGTGATGTCACCACACTCAATTTTTTTCAAAAATTCACGACTTATCACAGCAGTTGGTGGCAAAAGGTATGGTTCTTTTCGCGCTTAATAAAAGAGTTACACATAACTCATTAATTAAATGAGGAAACAATAAGCGTTCCTGGCACCGTACCACAAATTTCGTCGCAAAATTCACGATATACAATTCTACGCTGCGAGTCGCGTATTATTTATATGAGTTACTCATGATTATTCCGAATCCGTTAAAAAATTTGTTTCTTCTGTTTTAACATTCAATTTAGTTGCTTATTTATTTTTTTACGTTAATTCTGTGACATATTGCTATTTTATTGACGTTAAACCATAGTTAACAGCGTTGCACGTAAGTGGATTTATTGTACGCAAGAGAACCGCATTGTGTCCTTTTCAGCGGAAGAATTAAAGGGAACTACGTTACTTAAGCCAGTGACACACATGGTGTATGGTGAAGAAATTACATAATAGGTATGTAGCGTAATATGTATTTTTGATATTGAAGGCTAAGAAAAGTATTAAAAAATGTTTTGAAAAAAAGGGCCACCTAAGCAAAAAACAAATTTCATGTTATTATTTTTTATGTTAAAGATTGACAAGCAGATTGACAAGGTGGTTTATCTGGGTGAGTGATTATCGCAGCCCATGGACAGTCTTAGGTAAGGTGCGCAGGTGAGTGTAAAGGTGCCAAATTTTTCCAATATTTTGAGTAAATTATATAAAAAAATCAAAATTATATGTATTCACATAGACGCTTGCGCGTTCTTATAAAACGTAAACATTTTACATAAAAATTAATACGTTCGTAAGTAAGTTATAGGTATATGAAAAATAATGTGAATAATAAGGATTTCTCTAATTTAGCTTTAATTAAGTAAAAGGTGATAATAATGTTATACTAAGATATATAATGGAGTGTTTGGATCACAGCATATTCTTATTCTAAACTTGGAAATATATACTGCCGCCCTGTGTCACTACAACCGGAACTTCCCACCGAGAGGTGGATGCAATATCCCTTTAGCAACTTAGTTATCGTATCGACTCGTGCCACGCTCACTAATTCGCTACTAACTGCATTCATGTCGCCAGTTGACCAGAAATCTAGATGAAATGAATATTATTTTCTTTATTCACACATGTGATATATTAAAAGTGCACTTTTACATAATAACACCTTAGCATTGAGTTAGAAGAAGAAATTGGATAGCGGATTTTAATATTTATTCGTTTTTGGCTATCCAAAGTTTTTAAGCCTCCTGAAGTACAACTCAGTTAAACTGATCAAAAGAACTTGTTTACTTATTCAAACAAAGTATGCTGGCAAAAATTCGGCCGTTATACCGTTATTTTTTCTTGAAATCCGATATTTTCTATCACCTCGTCGTAGTTAAGACATCGAAAACATCGTTATTTTCCTCAGTCAGCCATTATTATCGCGCAATGTTGAACGAAAAGGTCGAGGATAGGGATTACTAAGTAAATATTGGTTAGCATGAATTTTGTAACCAAAGTAAATTTTGCTTTTCAAAGCCTTGTATCTGTTGTAGTCGCTTTCGACTTGAACAAATTAATAAAAAGCAGTGACTAGTCCACGCTTTATATAATAATAATACCTGTGATATCCTGCATTTCCCGAGTTAGGTTCGACACGCATTACATTGCACGTTTATGAGGAGGTCACATGGCGTTAGTTTTTTCATAGATTTATTTAGCATTGAACTATATTAATTAATTTTTATCAGCCGTTTAGCTTCGTGGCTAAAGCGTCGATCGCGAATCCCGAAGACGTGGGTTCGATTCTCACAGCGGCGAATAACTATTCGTACGGTACTTTTTCCACCAATTTTAATGTTTAATCTTAAGTGCAGAGATTAGCAATATAAAATTTTTTATTTCTAAAAAGCAATGGCGGCATTACTCTTTCTAATTATCGTTGTAAAACGATATTCGAAATTGTTTGTATGTTGGAAAGGGTATAACAATGGAAGCGCGAAGCATTGCTTCAAATTCTAAAAAAAAATAATGTAGATAAAAGACGTTGAGATTTTCATCGGTGTGGCAAACAGTCGTTAAGTTCAGTGGCTAAAACGTCAGAGCGTGACTCCTGAAAATGTGGGTTCGATTCCTACAGCGGCGAAAATCTTTTCGTACTTTTTCTTCAAAATTAATCTTAAGTACAGAGATCAGTACTATAAAACTTTAAATCCTTAGTGAAATTCAGGAATACATTATTTCATTGTTGTGTTAGGGGTTAACAGCAGCATTTTTATTGTATGGGCTGGCTCGTCTGGGGAAATATCACGGCCAAACAGAAGACCAGCGTCTAGTGGAGCTATAGTCTATAAAAGTATAATATCTGTAGTATATACTCGAAAGTATTTCGTGTTTCGGTTGGTGAGTGGAATTTTTTAAGTTTAGCATACATCTGTATCTCGTCGTAACTATAACTTAATACATTTTTAGGTGATCCAACTTGTGAGTATGAAACGTATGATTGCCTAGTGTCAAAAGAAGGATTACTTTATGATGACAATATTGGAGTGTTTGGCGTTGTAGGTACTTTATTTCTGTTCATACTGTAAGCCAACATATTTCAGAATTGTAATCATTACAAATTGACGATGAAACCATTGATATTAAAGGTATTCGCGGAGTAAATACCGTTTGCTCTTTCGGTCTACTATTTTATTTAATTTAAAGATTTATAATGAAATATTTTAAAGATATTAAGAGCTTACATAAAAAAGTAAAGTAACATACCTGTACATTACTTACTGCTGGGCAAGGACCTCCTCTTGAAATATATATATATATATATATATATATAGTTAAAGATTACATCCGACCAATCGAGACTAGAGAATAAGTTAGACACGGTCAAGATAAAATATTCGCAGCTGCAAACTTTGCGAAGGCAAAGAGTCCGTTTCAAGCAGAATTATTCTCCTTGAGGTGCGAAAAGGGAGGGAGCGAAATAAATCAAAAGGCTTAGTGATATAAGTTTGAATTTCTTGTTCATTCTGCGAGCCCTTTGTTATATTGTAATAAAAGTATGAATTTCAATCGAATTCTTTGGTAAATGTAAATTAATTTAATCTTTTTGGAGCTTATTTCAAATATTGCATATAATTTTTCATTGACAATTTTCAGATGGGGGTACGGTCAGTAACACAGTCTAACTACGCTACTCGACTTAGCCTAACGGACTCTCTGACCGAAGTACGATGTGGTCCTCTAGCATTTCGGTGGTCATGAGTAAGGTTAAGAGCCCTCAAAAGTAACAAATGTTGTTAGGAAAGAATCTCCTGAAAATGTCGGTAGCAGGACCGTGAAGATAATAAAGGTCAAGGAGAAGCCAAAGCTGAAGACCAAATCAAAGCCGTCTCCAGAGAGCAACACTGCATGCGTGATCAAGCCATGACACGTGGCAACATCGAGATTGTGGCTGAATTGGACAACGGTAACAGTGACAGCCAAGGCCGAACCAAGGACTTTGAGAGATATATTAGGTGGGAGGACCTGAATCACATAGGACACCTTTAGGACACCTTTTTACACAACATTCTCTAGTCCCAAACTAAGCAAAGCTTGTACTATGGGTACTAGAAAACTGATAAATATACTTAAACATACTTTTCTTTTGTAAATAAATACATATTATACATATATAAACACCCAGACACTAGAAAAACACTATGTTCATAACACAATATTTTTCGAGTAGTGGGGATCGAACCCACACCCTCTGGCACAGGAGGCAGGTACACTACCCACTACGCCATTCGGGTCTTCGTGTTACGCAGTGTTACGTCCGAATCGGTCAATGAGAGCGTGAGGTAAAGGAATAATGTGTTGAGCGTCAGGATAGTACTGATATTCCGCAGACAATGGGATAAATACTTATATGCATGTGTCTGATAAGTTAATACATGACATCGTCGAGTTGTTCAAGAAGGAATACGACCATTCGACTGTGGTAAGAACTGGTTGAAGAAAATTAAGTACGAGAGGAGGCCAGAGGTACGAAAGCACGCGATAAAGAGGCCTTTGCCCTTTGAGATCTGTATATTTCATTATTGTTGTATTATTCTATTGGATAAGTTATTTGCTTATGTTCTCATTCTTTTTATTGTTCCGTATCATTTTAAAAATTTTATAAATTCTTGAAGGCTACTTTAGCGTTACTTCGCGTAACCTGCTCACAACCACCAAAGGTTAACTGGAAAAGATAATGCTATTTAGTGTTAAGTTCGCCTTTATACAAAAATTTTGGCGCATTAAAGAATTTTCAATCAATCAATTGTTGAATTGTACATTTGTTTTATTTTAAAAAAGAAATTAGCAAAGTTTTAATATATAATCTTTGCATGCCCCATTCATTCTTCTTGCAAAATAGGTGAAATCAAAATAAAGAATAATCTTAAAGAAGTGAATATAATACAATAGGTAATTATAACATTATCTAAATAATTTTAAATCATATAGCTATGACCTCATCATGATCACTATGTAAAAAAAACTTCAATCATCAGTTTGCTATTTATTTATAGAATCAATCTATTTAATAACCTTGATTTAGCTATCTGCAAAAATACGTAGCACTTTTTTTACACTACACTCCCTGAACGCAATTTTATTTAAGACTAGCTGTGCCCACGCTTCGTCCGCGTGCAATTTAACATAATTAAGATTTCTAAAATAAAAGTAGCCTAAGTTACTCCTTATGACATCAGCCAGTGAAAGTCTGTAAAAATCGGTTCAGTCGTTTCAGAGATTAGCCGGAACAAACAGACAGACAAACAAAAATTGTAAAAAATGTTATTTTGGTATAAGAACCATGTATACATCCATAAGTATTTAGTAAAAAGCGGTTATTTTAATATTACAAACAGACACTCCAATTTTATTTATCTCTATACATTTTATACATATAGTATAGTATATCACGTTACTTATACTATGGTAAATAAATACTGTTGCCCTGTGTCACATCTGGAACCTCCCACCGTATGGTGTATGCATGCATATTCCTATTGCAACTAAGTTATCGATCGTCTCGATCCGTACCACGCCTACTACTTCGCTACTAACTTAACTAAGATAAATTATTTGTGATGGGCATTTTATTTTCTTTTTTAGCTTTTCAACCGCGGCTTCGCTTGCGTTGAAGCCCTTAAATAAATATCTTTTTTAATAAGAAGAATCGTTTGTCCTTTTTAATATCTCTAAGAATATGTTTTCAAAGTTACATGATAATCAGTTGAATAGTTTTGACGTGAAAGCGTAACAAACAAACTTACATTCACATGTATAATATTAGCAGGGATATACGCGAAGTGTTAAAGGTGCACAATAGTAAGGTGATATTCGTACCACGGGCCTTGACGCATTTATTATCTTGAAAATAATAGTTAACTTCATGGACTAAAAATAAAAATGAAATTCAATGGAATATGGAAATAGAATATTTATTAATTACTAGCTACCCGGAAATCGTTGTTTTGCCATATAAATTATTTGTAGGGTAGAAAAAAATGTTTGGGGTGGACCACCCTTAACATTTAGGAGGATGAAAAATAGATGTTGTCTGATTGTCGACCCTGGATATGCACACAAAATTCCCTTTCTGTCAAAAATTCTGGAAGCCTGTGTTCACAAGCAAATCTCCTTATTTTTAAATAAACATAACCTACTGAGTATCTATCAGTCTGGTTTTCGTTCTGGCCACAGCACTACCACAGCCTTAATCAAAGTTACCGATGACATTAGGCAAGGCATGGAAGATAAAAAGGTAACTGTGTTAGTGCTTGTGGACTTTTCAAACGCTTTTAACACAGTAGATCATGCTCTCCCATATTAATTTTGCAGACTCTGTTGTAGAATGGTTTTCATCTTATCTTCGTGGGCGTCAGCAGTCAGTCACCTTGGGGCAAAGAAGCTCGGCTTGGGCTGATGTTGAATCTGGCGTACCACAAGGCGGCATACTGTCTCCCATAATCTTCTCTATTTTTAGTAACTTTCTCACTGCTTTTTTGAACTGTTCGTATCATTTGTATGCTGACGATCTTTAACTTTATGTGCAAGCCGATATAGACGACCTTCATGTTGCGATAGTAAAATTAAACGAAAACCTAGACAAAGTCTGAAGTTGGTAAAGTTCTCATGGAGTTTCGGTCAATCCCTCGAAATGCCAAGCTTTACTTTTTGGTAGTTCAAGGATGCTGACAAAAATTGATTACTCGTCTGTACCTCCTATAAAATACAATTATATAATAATTCCTTTTTCAAATGTGGTAAAAAATCTAGGTCTGCTTATTGACAATACTTTGAATTGGAGTTTATATGTTACCGAAATAAGCCGCAAGGTTACTGCCACCTTACGATCTCTCTATCGTTTAAAACATTTCCTCCCTATCAAAACTAAACTTTTGATTGTCCAAACGCTCATTTTACCCATTATCGATTATAAAGATGTGTGTTACCCGGACGTATCCCAACATCTACTAAACAAGTTGGATCGCCTCCTTAATAACTGTATCAGGTTCATTTTCGGCTTACGCAAGTTTGACCACATATCCTCCTATCGATCTCAACTTAATTGGCTTACTATACGGCAAAGGCGGCAGTCCAGAATTTTGCTTGTGCTTTTCTCCATTTTAAATGATTGTTCCTCCCCTTCTTACCTCAAAAACAAATTCTTATATCTCTCCTCATCTCATGATAGGGATAATAAATTATGCATTCCAGCGCACTTTACCGGGTTCTCTGTTAACTCCTTTACTATCCAAGCTATACATCTTTGGAACTCCTTGCCCGATAACGTAAGAAACGCAAAAAGTAAGACATCTTTCAAAATACTGGTTCGTGAACCCCTGTTAAAGACAAATTCGACCTAACATATGGACTGTAGTTAAAAGTAGAAGCTAATTGTTATTTATTTATACAAGTATACATCTTTATATATATTTAAATATTTGAATATATATATATATATATATATATATATATATATCCAAATATAATATTATTTTCATATATATTCTCTTCAATTAAAATTTTATTATTCTTGCATCTTTTGCTTCACCTACCATAAACTCTCACCACGTCCTGGGTTGACTGGTAGAGAATGCCTTTGGGCATTAAGTCCGCCCTTTGTTACCTTGTTTTACCGAAGGTTGGCAATAAGGATTAAATAAATAAATAAATAAATTCACGAAAATCATTCGAGCCGTTTCGGAGGAGTTTAATTACAAACACCGTGACACTAGAATTTTATATATTAGATAGGTACTGTTTCAGATGCAATAGTAATTTTAAGGAAAGTATAACAGACTGTGGACAACAGCTTACTTTAAAAGTAAATGAACTTTCAAGCTCTACGGGGGAGGCCTATGTTCAGCATTAGACTCAAACAGACAAATGATGATGATGATTATAGATTCTTTCTCGAAATTCTATCTTTTCTATTACTTCGAAGTGATCGAAAGACGTTGATACTATTTATCACTTTATTATTGTTCTCTATCAACCTTTATATTATTATTGCAGAATAATATTTGAAGGACTGAAAAGGTCGGATAGGGATTGCTAAGTAGGTGAATATTGGTTTGCATGAATCTTGTAACCAGAGTAAGTTTGCTTTTCAAAGCCTGTATCTATTGTGAAAACATTAGTTCGACCAGGTTTTATAGTGATATTTATCTATATATTCATTCATTAGGTTATGATTATTATAAACGTACAAATTCGTAAAGATTAATAAGTTTATTTTAAATGTATATTTCTTTTTACTTATATGAACAATATGAATAATAAATTTATTATCACATTTGTTTATTATTAGATTCACAAAAAATATCAAATTCACGTGTACTTGACACGAGAATTTGATATTTTTTTTCTAGCGTTTATAAGTAACTATATCTTTAATGGCCACCCATCGAAGATTTTGGTTTTCTCAAGTTATTTCAATGTAGAAATGTTAAAGTTTTGTTAATCATGGTGGCTCTGTTTTTTATTAGCGTTGTTATTATTCTTTTTAGGATTTGTTTACAATATTCACGTTAGCTTTGAACATTTTTCAAGAAGCTATAATCCTTTTGGACATTTAGAAAAATTGTAAGAGTTAATTTATCTTGGCAACCAATAACAAACTTTTGGCATTTACCAATAATTCAAAGTTATTTAATGGTAAGAAACCTACTATAAAAAGTGTCAATTGTACAGTAGCAAACTTCATACCTTTCAAGTACATTCAAAATACACATACGTACGTACTGTTATCGGCACGGCGATTAAAATTAATGTTCTTGATTTTTATTTTAGCTCAAAAGATTCAACGTTCGCTGACCACGGCTAACTTAATTCTGTAGTAACAACCGATCCATTGATATCGAGGAAAATTTTCGATGGACCAAATTTCGAGAAGGTAAATTATGTCTGTTTCAAGCAGCATTTCTCTCCTTGACGTGGGAAAATAGGGAGAGAGAAATAAATCACAAGGCTAACCGATGAAAGCTTGAACTGCTTGTTTTTCTTGC